AAGAGATCTCCCACAACATTCCTGTGACATTCCAACATTTTGCCCAAACTTGGACAACTCTCTAATAAATAGTTACGTGTCCACCAGCTTCCTTAGTCGTCCACTGTTACCAGTGTGGTCAGATGTATCAGCATTTACCACGCCTTCAATAGGTGTACCAGGATAAAACCATTCTGGTACGTTTAAATACCAGAATTGGAAAGCTATGGTAGGTAGGGGAGGTAGGTGAGTACTGAGACAGTTATGACGTTACAGCAAGTATCTACGTCACAAGTGTCCCAGAACTCTCGCAATGTCATTGAGTATGACATGATGTCAGACATGATGACATGCGTCAGTGTCGCAGAACTCTCAATGTTATTGAATTGTGTGAATTCCCTCTCCCATTCCACCATTCGCACAACTAAGAGGTACGGAATGTCGCTGACGAGCTTCCAATCATCGCCTCCGTGGTTAATAAGGTTTGCGGTGGACCCATCTTTGGCAGACTGCATGTTGAAGGGGCGTCAGTCCCTCCCGGTTCACTCAGTTTACACATTACGAAAGACAGCAACGATGCCACCAGATTGCAGTGTACGTTGACTTTGAATGTTTGACACTCCTGGTTTCATCGTGTCGACCACGGCCAGGCCAACCCTACCTTCAGCCCTATCAATTGCATGAACCTTTAGCTGTCGGTGTAAAGGTTGTAGGTGACTTTGATGCCCGCTCGCGATTTGCCTGCTCGCGGTATATCACACATCGAGGTACCGATGCTACTACAAAACGTTTAGAAATTTTAAAATCACTTGCCAAAGATTGTGAATGCCTGCTGGATCATACTATCTCCATCTTTATGATGGAGGCAGATGAGTTGGCTTTTCGAACTTCCAACACTTGTCACATTTGTAAGACACCCTTCTTGGATAATGGAATAAATCCTCCTGTTCGTGATCACTATCATTTCACGAGATTACACTTGTTCTGTACCCAGGAATCTCACCCTCAAGTACACAGTGAAAACCGCCTCGAGTCCCGAAGGTCAGGCAAACATCCTACGAACCAATCGGGTATAAACAACCCACGGTCGCCACTGGAGGAAAACTCCTTATCCGAAAAGAACAAGAGCAAGCAGAAATAGCCAAAGATTTTACTCCTTTTACCTCCTTACCGCGAATACCTCGGATATGCAAAAGTGACAGATCTTTCACAAGCCTTAGGAATTTGTCGCGATTTCGATAACAAAATGTCCTATGAAAATCATATAGATGCTTTACGAAACAAAAAATCTCACACCTTTTCTTCGTTCCAACCTTCCAGAATCAACCTAACACGAACGACATCGGTCAATTAGTCGGTCACGCGTTCATGACTCGAACATTGCGCTACGCTCGTCCTGCGACATGCTCCTCCGCGTGATTTTTCACCGACGGAAATATTCCTGGAAATATCTATGGGCGGCGGCGTTTTCTTTCGGCGAGCGCTCAGACTTGCATGTTATTCGCTTTTCACAAAATCCTTCAACGATTGTTCGTGCTTCGGTAATTCATCGCGACGAACGAATTCCACGGCGTGTCTTCCGACGTCCTCGTTCATGCGCTGCCGCTTCAGTGCGCTTCGACGTACTCGCGTGCTGTGACCGAATATATCCATCACGACGACTGCACTAACGCTATTGTTGTATGCACGCAGTGTTTTATAGTTGTGTGTGTGTACAAGAAAAAATCGCAAACCGTCTGAGTATACAAAAAGAAAAAATGATGTGTACAGTAGACCCTTCAAAGCGCGCTGCATGCGCGCTCTCGTAGCAATCATTTTAACTCGACATGCACTGCAGTGCGCTCTAGTAGCGGAAACGGAAAGTCTTTGCAGTCATAAGCGCAAGCGCTCGGCTCAGCGCCAGCGACCGGATGTCGCGGTTGATAACGCTCGCGCGCGCCTTGCGCTCATTAAAAGCAGGATGCTCGGTCTTCTTATCGCAGCGAGCCGCGTGAACCAAGCCGCGCCCCGACACGCTCAGTCTCATTTTCTCCACATCCGCGTGCAGACGTGAAAAGTATCCATACCACATTCGACATGAATCCAATGTGGTACGGATATTTTTCGAGTGATATCTCACGGTTTTTTCCCGTCGATTTTTTCGAGAGAAGTATTATTCATTTTGCAGCGGCATATGACGACATACTAGGACTAATTTTTTGCAGTGTGAGAGGGGACTCTGTCAACAGAACAGATAATTTCGGTAAAAGAGCGCTCCACTCTGCGTATAGGTCGCATCAGTGGACAGTGGTGCATTTTCCAAAATTTGTCGGTGCGCGGGAAACCATCAGGGACGCGAGTGGTACGTTACTCCGCGAGTGTGCCACCCTTCCCGGGCGCATTGTGTGAAAACTGCGCAGTGTCGGTGGTTCCCCCGCCATCGTATGGTGGAGATGCCATTGGAGCAGTATGCGCGGGAAATTGTGAATGCGGGAAATGAGAGCGCCCCGGCCGCCGTCCCCAACGTACCTCAGCGCCAGCGACCGGATGTCGCGGTTGATAACGCTGGCGCGCGCTGCGCCCGGATGCTCATTAAAATCCTGATCTATCGCTGCGAGCAGCGTTGAGCAAGCCCCGCCCCGCTTTCGAAGGAAACGCTCAGTCTCAACTTTCCGAGCCTTTAACCAAGACGTGTTTGCAAGTTGTACAATAGCACTCAAGTGTTTGAAGATGGCCAATCCTATATGGTATGGCTATTTTTCAAATGATAATCAGGGGAGATTTTTCCCGGTTGACATTTTCGGCCGTAGCGTAATTCATTATGCTGCGCTCTCGGCTTGGGATGCGGTTGAGAAGCGGGTGGGAGCGAAGGGTTGGAAAAGCGACCCGACAACCGGTGCACCCACCCCGGTCACCATCATGCATGCTTTTGTGTGTTTTGATTGTTTCTATAGGTCGAACGTATCAACATCAACAACGCAGATCTTGTATTGCAAACGCTCTCCAATGGTCGGACGTCATTCTTTAAACGTCCGTGTATTTCGGTGTGTCATTTTGAATACTCCTCCCCACGCGGCAACGCGGATCCGGTCGAGATTCGTTCAACCGTTGTCGTGATCCGTTCCATCTCAAGATGTTCGAAGAGCTCAAGAACGCTCTCGATCGACCTAATTTTAAATTTTCTCGCACCCAGTGTCAGTTTTTTATTGAAAGAATGAACGTCGAGACGCACGAAATCGTAGTGGTGCCGCAGCCCTTCTCTCTTTCGGCACGGACTGCGGTGTTATCCCGAGGTGAGGACATTTCGGAATTTTTCCTTTCCCGTGTCGCGCATCCTATCAATTCCAGATTCGACGAGTTTTCCCAGAGAGATTCCGGAAAATCGTTGGCCTCTATCGTCGCGCTTCATATTTCGGCTCACTTCGAACCTATCGCTCATTCTACCTGTTCTTTTATTCTTCTTCCGGCACCCATTGCGAGACGTCAAGCTGTGATTAACGTGCAAAATAGACGAGAAATGTTTCTTGTGGGCGCTGGCTTCGGTTCTTTCATAAACGTCAGCCTCCACAAACTAAACTTCTACATTCCAATCGTACCAGTACGTACGAAACCCTTTTCGGAGCCTAAGGCGGCGGTCACACTGCAGCCGATTTTGGC